TGAAATGAGATCTTGGAGCAAAACCACGGGGTTCCTGGGAAATATTTAATTTCTTCTAAGGGTGTTGTCCCACCCTTAGCTGATTGAAAGAACTGAAGTAACCATTCTTAGCCTTGTTTCTCTTTATGACTCAGACCCATGGCTTCTAGGATGTGTAAGGGAAATTGAAAATGCTTTTTGACTTCCTGGGTCCGAAAGAACCCAGTGCAGGGATGAGCTCAGGCTCTTCTCTGTGTTCTGGGGCACACAGAAACAAACATCCAAACAACGATGGGAGAAAAAACAAACTTGGTATCTGGAGTCAATTTCCAAACACAGAATACCAATATGTTGCTGGGATTTTGTGAGTTTCCATCCCACTACCTTAATCCCCATGTCCCTATGGCCCAGGTTTGAACTGGTTTTTCTTTACAGTGAGGAATGGGGCCAGCAGAGAAGGACAGCCAGTGAGACTCGATGGCCTGGGCAGGGGGGGGGGGGGAGGGGGGCTTGGGTTCCAGCTGGTCCAGGCAGTGTAGGCATCAGTATAGGGACAGAGAGGGTGGAGGATACTTTCCAAACAGGGTGGCAGGAAATCCATGTGTGCTAGGAGAGGTACAGGACTGGCTGGTGTCCTTGCCAAGAGCAGTTCACTGCAGGTTGGAATAGTAGTCCTCAGGTCACCTGAGGTCTTCTGAGCCACCTTTGAAAACCAGTCCTTTAAAAGCTGAACTGGGGATGAGGGCTGAGAAGAGGAGTCAGAGAATAGGTCAGCAGATCAAAGGATGGTGATAAAGGAGTTGATGGTACCTTTGGCCCTCAGGCTCTGCAGGGGCTGTGAGGAGTGAGAACTCACCAGACTTCCCTTGTTCTGATCTCACCTTCCAGTGACCCCAGCCTCTCCACTGGAGTCTGTGTCCCCAGGGAAATTCTAAACACTGAAGTAAGCCAGGGCTGAAGAAGGGTGGCCCATCTCCTTCCAGGTCCAGCAACCTCCCTGCTTGCTGAGTTTATATAGCCTGGGAAAATACCATTACCACTGCCGCCACCACCATCGGCACCACAGTGGGCTTGAGTCCTGGCTCAGGCTGGCCACACCACATCTTCCAGCCTCATTTTCCTGAAGAGGAGCCTTAAAATGTTCTGAAATTGAACTGAGTTAACTCCCATGAAGGCTCAATAGGGCCGAGCGTAGGGGCTCACTTGTTTCATTTCTGGAAGCAGCCAGTCAAATGGCAGGTGTGCAGAGGGAGGCACAGGGGAGGTTACCTTCTATCCAGTCTCCCGCCACACCTCCAGGCTCCTTGCCTTCTTGTTAATGGCTATTGTACATTGTACCTGCCACATTCCACAGGAAGGGAAGCAAATGAATGACAGTAAAAGAATCAATGCTTGCCGGTCTCCTGTGAACTTGGGCACATGTTCTTGTATAATTCCAGGTGTAAAAGACATAGGTTATAACATTTTCTTAAAAAGTTTTATTTGCATGTTTTAATTATGTGTATGTTTGTGTCTATGCATATGTGAATGCGTGTACCCGAGAAGGCCATAGGGGGAGTAGTTTCCTATAGCTGGCATTGCAGGTGGTTTGACCGTGAGTGTGAGTGGATGCTGGGAACCCAATTTGAGTCCTCTGCAAGAGCAGTACTCACTTGCAGGTTCTGAACTGTGGAACCATGGGAACCATTGTTCAGCTCCCCAACATCTTACTCTTGTGTTTATTTACATAAATTAACACTCTACTTCTTTAGTAATGAGAAGAGGCTCAACTCAGGTTATACTTAGTAACTTACTTAATGCAAGACCCCCAAAAGAGAGCCTAGCTGGCAACAGAGGTCTTTAATCCCAGCCTTCTTTGGGTAGGAGAGTTCTTCCTCCCTGCTCTGCCAAAGCCCCCTTTGGTCCCAGGGGCTGCTGGAGAAGGCAACTACCTGGAGGCTCAGGGCTGGGAACACTGCTGGGACCAGACCTTTGATCTCTCATTGAGCCCCTAGTAAGCCCCCAGCTTAGTCCTAGACTGCCCCAAAGCCAGCTGGGCTGGGTCAATAGACACTGGGAACAGGAAGAGACCCAGCATGCTCACTTCACACATTGTAAAACACACAAAGATCCCAGTTCCAGATAACTCCCAGTCTTTCTCTTCACTCCTGCTTCTTGGCGAATGATGCAACTCCAATGTGCATTAACTTATTCCCAAACAGAAGCAAAATATATGATCATGTTCAAGCCTTTGATTTCAAAGAGTCTGTTTGGCCCATCCCCACTTTGCCAGACAAAGAAATAAATCCATCAAGTCTGGCATGCAAAGTTCCCCTTCACCAAAGAGCCTCTTGATATTGTCTCATCAGCCCACAGGTGGTGGGGGACTGGTAGGGTTATGGCCTTGTGGGTTCTCAAACTCCAGACAGTGGAAAGGGAAAAGGGATTTAGAGGCTTTGGAAACACATCACCTACACAACAAATAGGCAATGAATTCCTCTATTCAGATGATTTTACTGAGGACACCCGTGCTTGAACCTCAGTAAACCTAACCCCACCTCCATCAACAAAAACAACTCTGGTGTTGCAGGTCAGAGAGGATGCAGGTCCATTGAGGCCCACTGAGGTTCACCTTAGGGAAATCTCATCTGCAGTCATTCTCTTGCATCTTGAATAATTCCTTTTGGGACCAGTCAAGTTAACTTTCATCTAGAAAAGGTTGCATCCTGGGGACAGGAGAGCAGCCCAGCATTCTTGTTTGCCTCGATTGGGCTTCCTCCATAAAGAAGTGGCAGGGAAGCTCAGTTCTCCTTTAATGAGCCTTGTACACAGAGTCAGAAGGGATGAGAAACCAGGACAGATACAGATGAGAAGCTTCCTGGGCAGCAGATGCAGTCCCCAAAATCAGAACTGATCTCAGTTTCTTTGAACCTGTGCTCTAGAAGACAAAGATGATAAACCCTCCTTGTAGCATCATAATGAAGAGTAAAGATGATAATGACAGACAGAACATGGAACATAGTGGGTTTTCATGGAACAGAAGTGTTCCTACTTAGAGGCATGGCTGCATTTTAATCATCCCCAAAGAGACAGCACTTAAAGACAACAGCTATGTAAACATGGTGCTCTTTGTGACTAGCGTTGGCCTTTGCAAGCTGTGTAGCACTTACTCCAAGTTGCTCCTGCTCTGTTCCCAGCTTTCCATCCAGGACTGTGCAGCTCAGAACCACCCAGTTAATGGAAAAAGGAATACCACTCATCTGAACAGAACCACTGTGTTGTATCACCTGAATAAAAACTCTTGAGGAGAAAAGTATAGCCCTTATATTTATCTTTCAAATAACAAAACAAATCTCTTAAAGCATTCTTGCCTGCTTTTATTTTATTTTTTCCTTGATTGCTTTGAAACAGGGTTTCTCTGTGTAATAGCCCTGGTTGTCCTGGAACTTTCTCTGTAGATCAGGCTGGCCTCAAACTCATAGAGATTCACCTGCCTCTGCCTCCTGAGTCCTGGGATTAAAGGCTGTGTCATCGCAGCCAGGCCCTTGCCTACTACTTTTAAGTTCACCCAGCATCGATTGTCTTAGGGATCCTCTGCCTCTTCCTGACCCCCCCCCGCCCCCTCCCCGTTATTAACGTCTCACCTGCTTAGGAAGTCAAGCTTCAGGGACCTGGAACTCCCTCCCACCTTCCCCCTGTTTGGGGAACATACCTGAGGATGGAGCTTAGTGGTGGCTTGGTTTCCCAATCTGTTTATTGATTCGTTAAACCTAAAAAGCAAAACAAAACAAAACAAAAACTGGAAGGAAGCTTTTTTTTTTTTCCTGTAAATATTTGATATGTGTGTAGGGTGAGGTCTAGATTCACACTCTAAATCTTGCTCAGTCGGAAGCCCTCTCCTGATTTTTCTGAACGCGGCCGGCAGGAGGAGGCGAGAGCCTGACTGGGGCTCCCTTAGCTTTGGGGAGGGCGCAGTCTAAGAGTGCAACCCTTCCCAGACTGGCAGACTCCCGCAAAGCCTTTCCGTTGAACGAGGCTCCCGCAAAAGAACTTTGTCGCCTAGGTCCGGCTTACTGGCTGGCACCTGAATGATCGATCGACCTTGAAGCCAATGTGGTCCCTCACTCGAAGACTTGGAAGACTGCTCTCTTTACACCCTGACGGGGGTGGGGTGGGATGAGGAAGCTTCTGGCAAAAATTTGTGGGCGCCAAACTCTCACTCACCATATTTATACACACCGGAAACCTTCAAACAAACATCTGCGGCGAGGAGACTGGGGAGGGGACACACGCAGATTCTAAGGTTCAACCTACAGAGGGTTGGTGACAGGGACTCAAACCACCTTGAGGCGCCCAAGACACAGGAAAGCGGGAGATTCTGGTCTTCAGCGTGCTTAGCTCAGGGTCCTGGTTTGAGCTCCCAGGGGACATCAGGAGTGAGGAACCAACACAGTCCACAACTCTGGCAAGGGCACATGAGTAGCTGAAGGAAGATTAGATATCCGCCTCTGGCGGAACAAGGTGTCTAGGGGACCCACGGTTGCCAACGCCCGCCTCCCACTCAGCACCAACGAAGCGGCAAGCCTGTATTCAGCCTCCAAACTCTTCCTACCCATCTTATTTCCCCCACCACTGCTTGTTCACCATCCGCTACTTAGGACCTGGGGGCGCAGGGGCGGGGCAGCAGGCGAACTGGACCGTGACAGGTGCGCCCCTCGGCCAATCGCCGGACTGACACCCTCCCCGGGCTCCCGCTGCGCGCGCCAATCCCAGACCGCGCTGAGCTTCGAGTGTGCGGAGGGGCGCGGGTCCCCACCAAGGCGCCAGCGGCGTCGGCTCGGTAGCTTGAGCGCTTGAGAGCAGAGCCGGCCTCCCCAGCCTAAACTCGCAGGAGCGCTCGTGTGAGAGTTTGTACCAGTGAGTGGTGTGCGGACAGCAACGAGGCGGCGTCTGGACCATGGTCGCTCGTGGCTGAGTTCCCGGCTGCGATTTTGATTATTGGCAAATAATCGCAGTAACAATACCAAGCCCCAGAGCTGGCCACCTCCACGCTCAGTCTCCGCAAGACTGCACACGACCTCGTCGCCCGCCCCTGGGCACTGATCGTCAGCTCCAAACGAGCCGATGGAAAAATCCAAAAATTTCCGCATCGACGCCCTGCTGGCGGTGGATCCCCCGCGAGCCGCCTCCACTCAAAGCGCGCCGCTGGCCTTGGTCACTTCGCTTGCGGCCACAGCATCTGGCCCCGGACGAGGCGGCAGCGGTGGCGGGGGGACCAGTAGCGGAGCAAGCCGCAGCTGCAGCCCCGTGTCCTCTGAGGCCACTGTAGCTCCCGGCGACCGGCTGCGGGCTGAGAGCCCGTCGCCCCCGCGCTTGCTGGCTGCGCACTGCGCTCTGCTGCCCAAGCCGGGATTCCTGGGCGCCGGAGGAGGCGGCGGCGCGGCGGGTGGGCCGGGCACTCCCCACCACCATGCGCACCCTGGTGCCGCCGCCGCCGCTGCCGCCGCCGCCGCGGCGGCAGCTGGCGGCCTGGCATTGGGACTGCACCCGGGGGGCGCGCAGGGCGGCGCGGGCCTCCCCGCACAGGCAGCTCTCTACGGTCACCCGGTCTATGGTTACTCGGCGGCGGCAGCAGCGGCCGCACTGGCGGGCCAGCATCCTGCGCTTTCCTACTCCTACCCTCAGGTGCAGGGCGCGCACCCCGCACATCCTGCTGACCCCATCAAGCTGGGTGCCGGCACCTTCCAGCTGGACCAGTGGCTGCGCGCGTCCACCGCGGGCATGATCCTGCCCAAGATGCCGGACTTCAGCAGTGAGTACCTGCGCAGCACCGGGGCAGTTCTCTCCAGCATCCTCCTTTCCCGCACCCTGTTCCTTTTTGCCTGGGCTCTTAGTGAGCTGTGCAAGCGCAGCGCAGCGAAACTGCCATGGCTCATCCCTGGGCCTGTGAGGCCTCGCGTGGGCCGTGCGGTGTGAGAGGACCAGCGAATTATTAAGATGGCCACGCTCAGGCCTTGCTTTCTCTTTCTTTCTTAATGGGCAGAGGAGGTTAGAGGTGTGAGGCTGAAACCTAATGATTAACTCGCAGGTTGGAGAAGGAAGTGCGGGGGAATTCTAGCCAAAAAGGGCCTCGAATGGGGCAGGTATTTTAGGGTCACTGAAACCTGGGACTTATCACTGGGAACATGAACTTGGCCAGGGGCTCCACAATGAGCTACGAAGAGATACATCACCAGGTCCAGAAGTAGCTAAGGAAAAAATGGACTCCTAGAGTAGCAGGACTACAAGGCCAGGGCCCAAGCTCTTCTCTGGCCCTTGTCAGGATTCTGTCTTCTTCGGAAGGGCCAAGGGTGTGTGTGTGTGTGTGTGTGTGTGTGTGTGTGTGTGTGTGTGTCCCTGCAAACAATGTCCAAGAGGTCTGTTTTGAACAGAAGGTCTCAGAGACTCTAAATGGCAAGTGTCCTCCTGGGAACTCCAGGTGCCCAACACCTTTGGGAGCTCCTGTCCAAGGAGAAAAGAAACGCCAACCCACTGCATCTTCTCTGCAAGAGGGACATTTCAGAAGCCATTTCAGACATCCCTGACACATGATGCAGCTGTATCTGTGTAGGGCACCCTGGCTCTGACTCTTGCCCCGTGCCCCACATGGGTAGGGGCAAGCTGCCTTTCCATTCAGGCCAGAACAGAAGATGTATATGACTTTCCCCTGTCAGCCGCCCAACACCCAAACAAAGAGACCCCATTGTTTCCGTCTGAGTGGGTTTGTTTAGACTGGGGAGATGCAGGCACTGGAGGGAAAAAAAAGCAAAAAAGAAAACAGAAATAAACACTTGCCAGAATTCAGATTCCTCTGTTAGAAGCAGTGGTTGTAACTAAACAGAGAAAGCGAGGGTCCCGGAGAACTGCAGAAGTAGCAATGTGGTGAGACTCTCCCAGCCTGCACACTTGTTTGCTCACAGCCACCCAGGTTTTTCCCAGCTTGGCTCCAAAAAGGCCAACCTTGTTGATCTCAGCAAAGAGGAAAGGCTTCCATTAACCTCAGCTGGGGGTGGGGGTGGGGAGCTGCAGCTCAGCTGTCTCTGAAATTGTTCCTATCTAGTAAGTCCTGGGCAGGATCTAAACCTGGCTGAGGAGCCCAGCAAATCCCTTCAGATGGAAATTTACCCATACATGTCCTGATGGCTGCACTTCCTAGGCCTGAGATGCAAAGGTGTCCAGAGAGGAGCTGGCCACTGGTCACCAACAGACCTCCATGGCTTTGGGTTCCTGACTGCTCAAGTGCTCTCTGTGGGAGAAAGGGTGTTTTTGTGAAGCCCATGGTCGCTCAAAAGCCCTGCCTGTGGGATCCCTTTGCCAGCACACTAAGTCCATGAAGTCTCATGGTGGCTGCATTAAAAGTAAGGCCAGTGTTACATTAGGAAGAGAATCCAAAGCAGGTCCTGGGACCAGCACTAAGGAATGCCACAGAGGGTGGCTGAATGTGTTCCATTCTTGGGACTTCCCTCTCACCTGGGAAAAGAGGCTTGGTTTTCTTTAATTGGTTGTTTCTATCCACTGGATGGCATTTCCCAATGATCCTTTCCGAGCTGGTGTTTTAATTAGAGTTCTAATGTATTGTCAAGTTGGGAATTCATAGCCTTGTTTAACTAAAGCAGGGGGCGTGGACCTTCCTATAAAGCAAATTGCCCATCCCAGGGGAGCCTGAGCTCATCCCAGCCAGGGGCTGGCCTCTTTCTTTCCTTTGCTTTCTTTCTTTTATTGTCTAACACTCTTTGGACTCCTGGGAAATCAAGGGAAGTCTCGTTTTGAGGTAATAAAAGTCTCTGTGATGTAACCGTGCGAAATTATGTAAATAAAGCTGGACAGATATCCTGGAACACACAGAAAGCCAGATCTACTCACAGCTCGGCCTTTAATTTGAGTAATGAGAAGAGTCGGAACAGGCTTCCAGTCCCTTTGCCCTCTGTTCTAGGAGAAGGAGGGAGCTTGTCAAGATAGACCTGGAGACACCCTGATGAATATGCTTATTTAGGCTCCAGCTTCTGTCTCTGTTTCTCTCCCTCTTGCTCCCTCCCTCCCTTTTTCCTCCCCACCTCCCTCCCCCACGATCTGGGGGGGGGCACATGCCTTTTCTGCTCTTCTGCTTTAAGATGGTTGTGGGACCAAGAGGACTGGTGCTTTTCCAGCTTGAGGTGTGGGAAGGCCCTCCACGAGGCTACCCCAGCTTTTTTAGACCTGCCCGTGTTCATACATGTGGCTACTGCGAGCAGGCAACCGGCCCTATTTAATCACGACTCTCAAATGAAAAGATTGTCTTTTGAGACAAGCCCTCCACTTCTGCTTGTGTCTGAGATGTGAGTCCTCTGGTCTGTGGGGAGTAGACACTGATGTTGAAAAAAAAAAAAAAAAAACCCCACGTCTGCCGGGTGGGAGTTGGAGGCTGGACCCTGAGAGGGACAAGGGCAATGATGGCTGGAATCCGGGCAGTAGGACAAGCCTACAATGTCCTCTCCCCCTTTTGGTTCACAGCCCAGGCGCAGTCGAATCTCTTGGGGAAGTGCCGAAGACCTCGCACAGCCTTCACCAGCCAGCAGCTGTTGGAGCTGGAACACCAGTTCAAGCTCAACAAGTACCTGTCGAGGCCCAAGCGTTTTGAGGTGGCTACCTCGCTCATGCTCACCGAGACCCAGGTACACACCTGATACCCAGCGCCCCTCCCAACCAATCCCTAGGAGGGTTTGGCAACTGGGTCCCAGCTTCTTGACCTTTAAGTTCGGTATTAATTCTCAGTGGGCGAGGTCCTTAGGGAAGAAGACCCAGAGCGTCTTTAGGTGCAGGAGGTTTAATTCAATAGGTTGGGGTACAAGCTGAGAATCCATATTTATCCAGCTATTCTGGAGAGATGTCCCCCAGGCTACATTCTAGTTGGGGGGCACCACGCCCAGATATGGGGTTACTGATGAATAGAGTGGATGTAGGGATGAGGGAATGGAGAAGCTGCTGCCCAGTCAGCTTCTTAGTCCTCTACGGAAACCCCTTCTAGGGTGAGGGTGGGCCGAGGGGCAAGGGTCCTGGGTGCTCACACCTTCTGGGTTCGTGGGGATGTAGGTGTCGGGTTTCTCATGCCAACTTGTGCCTGCAGGTGAAGATTTGGTTCCAGAATCGCCGAATGAAATGGAAACGCAGCAAAAAGGCCAAAGAACAGGCTGCGCAGGAGGCAGAGAAGCAGAAGGGCGGCGGCGGGGGCTCTGGCAAAGGTTGCGCTGAGGAAAAGGCCGAGGAGGAGCTGCTGGGGCCGCCGGTGTCCGGGGACAAGGCCAGCGGCCGTCGCCTGAGGGACTTGCGAGACAGTGACCCTGATGAGGATGAAGATGATGATGAGGACGACCACTTTCCCTACAGCAATGGTGCCGGCGCCCACGCAGCTTCGTCCGACTGCTCATCCGAGGATGACTCGCCGCCCCCAAGGCCGGGCGGACCCGGGCACCAACCTCTGCCCCAATAGTTGCTTCAAGCTCGGCATCAGGGACGCGCATGACGACGGCTACCTCGGCTGCGGGTTTTCAACCCTGTCCTGTGGCCTGCAGCCAGTCTGGCAGCCTCTCCCCGACCATGCATCCAGGTGCGCGCTGGGGTGGGGGAATTCTGTTTGGGCCCTCGAAGGACCGCAAGAGAGAAAGAGAGAGAGAGAGAGGAGAAAGGGGAGCTCCAATGTGAACTTTCGATCTTTTAAATTTAATTTCGGGTTGTGTTGGCCGGAGGAGTTTGTGAGAAGAACCGATCCCTTCTAGGAGTGGCTCCTGCCTGGCTCTTCCCTCATCGGAGAAGGGAAAACTACAGTGTTAAGTGACCTAGAAACTTGAAACCTCCTTTGGAGACACCATTCTGCTGAGAATTGAAAACAGAAAAAAAGGTTTTATGCCTGTGGTGGTCGGGGGGTGTTATGTCATGAGCATTCAGACTGCTGAAAAAAATCTCAGAATGGTAGTGTATTTTTGTATATTGTATTTATATATAAAGAAAGAAAGAAATGTCTACTTATGCATGCTAAATTATTATTTAGCTTCCCCATTCCCCAGGGTGGAGATGGAATGTAAAATAAATTGGTTTTGTACTGGATGAGAGTGGAAAAAAAAACACTTTAATTTTGGAAGGAGGGGGGTTGAACCCAGGGCCTTGGGCAAGTCGGCAAGTGAAGCAAGTGCTCTGGTACTGGCCCATATTAGCAGCTTAGGAAGAACAAATCTTGTAGGGCTTGGTTGTTTTGGTTATCAGCAAAGGGTGAAAATCAGAATGACAAATGGATGTCAGGACCCACCTCCAAGCCTGAGCCCACCAAGGCCAACCTGATTCCGGAGGCTGAAGGTCCTGGAGGGGGGAGCGGTTGGCAGCAGGTGTGAAATGTGGTTAAAATTATCAGAGGCCAGGTGTCAGAACAAGTGCCTTGCTTAAAACTCTGTGCTGTTCATAAGACTCTTAGCTGAGTGACTTTGGACACTTTACCCTTTGCTTGGATTTTTTTTTAGCTCCAGTGGCATGGGAATATAGGATTTGAATGTTTCAGAGAATAAGCTGCCAATAACTAGGTGTTAGTGGCTTTTGGAGTCCTAGCAATCCGTTAGCAAGCACATTTCCCGGAAAAGCGCTTAATGGCGCCATGCAGCACATTCTCCTTTTGACCTAGGACCCTCAGCCAGCACGATGTACCTTGTGCTAGCCCGGAACGATTTTGTACAAATGTCTTCTGAGAGGAAGCAGTGAGCAGCAAGAATGCTCCATGCCAGAACTGCAATGGCTCTGGGTTAATAAACCTCTGCAGCGAACGCCATCAATCATTCAGCCCCCAGACCATGTGCAGCACACATGCTGGGCCCAGCCCTAGGCACACCGGTCCTCAGCATCCTGACTCTGTCCAGGGAACGCTGGGTCCTCCGGGTCTGGTTCGTTCCCCGCTCCCCATTCCCCCATGGTAGTCTTGGTGGCCAGCTTTCGACTTAGAAAATAGCTGAAGAGGTTCGCCTCTCTGGTGTCTGCCTCCTGTTGGTCGGTCACTTTCTCTCCCACACCTGGGTGGGGGCGAGCAGCCTCCTCCCCTTGCTTCTGCTCTCCCTTCCAGCTGATGAGAGTTCAGAGGGGTCTGGAGTTTCATTTGGGTGATTGCAGCGGGGCCAACAGGGCACTCCTACATCTCAGAGCCCAGCCAGATTAATATCCTTCTGGCAGCTCATTATCACCCCGGGCTCCTTCTGTAACATCCAAACCGGCCCAAGCCGGGGTATGGGGCTGAAAGCCAGGCAGGGCAGCTGCCTGAGTCCCAAGCTTCCGATCCATAGGCTCTTTGGGGCGAATCTGGACTGGCTTTACAACTGGCAGAGAAAGTAAAGGGCTGGGGGGAAAGGGAATGGGAAAATCTGAGAGGAGTGGACGAGGCAGGGGTGTGTGTGTGGGGGGGGGAGCAGATGCCTTTCTTTTTTTCTTTTAAAAAGATGCATGTGTCTCTTTTTAACTTCTAACACATTGACAAGGTTCAGCCCGAAGCAATCTCTCCGCAAGCTTGCTCCACATCTGGGGGTTATTTTTCCTCTGAGGATGGCCATCCCAGTCTCAGAGCCTTGTAGTCCTAAACACTAGGTAAACAGAAAAGGGAGGCCTGGACGTGGGGTGGAAGAGTAACAACGAATAGACCTAGGGACTCAGGTCCAAGGGAGAGACGCTGCCCTAGAACAAAGGCCCAACGGATGCTGCAGAAAGAAACAACCTCTATTTCTGCAGGAAGAAACAACCCTTCCATTTCTCCCCACTCGGTGCAGCTGGGCAGCAAATCTCTAGTTTGGCGCGCAGATCCGCAGGCGGCCTCAGTGTCTCAAGCCAGCAGCTTAATCGCAGCGGAATTTATCTCGCTAATAAATTTAATGATCAATTCGTTCTTGTCACAGTAGCTCTTCCCCAAATCAATTATAGCAAATTTAAATATAATCACTGCCTCATCCTAGCTTACTCCGGGCATGGCACACATTCATCCCGCCTAACGAACTGCCTGGAGGCCTTCTGGTGCGAGTGAATGGCCGCGCCCCCACTCGGGGTCACCGACTTGGCTGTGCAAAAAAGACGGCCTTGAGCCTCTCCTTCGTCAGCATTTGAGCCTCTGTGACCTCCTGGCCACGGTAGTGGGGCTAGAAAATGGCTTTGCAGTCCCAAGGATTGGGTTCCCAGAATCAGAGACAACCAGGTCTACACAGTGGGTGTCCTGATGCCCGGAGTTCGAATTCCAAGCATCTTACACAGATACCCTCAGGTAATCTAGCCCGCGGCTGGGCATGCCTGGTCCCTAGGATGTGTCTCTCTTCAACCTAAACGTGCTTCTGTAGAGTGATTCTGCAGCCCTACACTGTGATGTAAGGTCCGATTAGAGAGCCCCCACCCAAAGCTGATGTGGATTTCCAGGAACCCCAGGTCTGCTCTCATAACCTGAAGATCTGGCTCTGATAACTGATTTCTTTTCTTTTTGGTTTTTCAAGACAGGGTTTTTCTGTTTAACAGTCCTGGCACTCACTTTGTAGACCACGGTGGCCTCGAAATCACTGAGATTCACCTGCCTCTTCCTCCCAAGTACTGGGATTAAAAGCATGTGCCACTCCACCTCCCCACCCCTGCCAGCCCATGACTGATTTCTTTTACAACCCTTTACAGCCCTTGAGACCAGTGAGAGATCATAGAGACGGGTTAATAATACAGGGTCTGGAAGCACAGAGCCACTATAGGTAGAGGAGATGGGCCTGCTCTTTTCATATTAGCCCTCCCCAGCCCAGTGCCCAGATGGAGAGGGAAGTTTTTTTTTTTATGACCCCCAAAGCACAGACAAGAGAAACAAAAATAGGCAGCTGGAAGTCTATCAATGAAAAATTTCAGTGCCAGGAAGAACACAGTTTACAGAAAGATCCACCTAGAAAAGACAGGAAACACTATAAGCAATGGGTGAACATGGAAAATAAAGAGCGCCAATTCAGCTGCAGCAAAAATCAAAACACAACTGAAGATTCACAAAGGACTGTAACAGACACACAAATGTTTAGGAAGAGAAACAGAGTCAAACCTTAAGGATGATGTACCTACAGATAAAGAAGACTACCAGTGTTGGTATGAGGATGTGGAGAAATTTGATCCCTTGTATATCGACTGGATGGGAGTGGTGTAGTCGTAGAAAACAATATAGAAGTGTCTCAAAGAATCAAAACTGAGCTGAGAGTATAACTCAGCAGTTGGGCAGAGTGCATTCAAGTAGAGTGCTTGCCTAGTATGTATAAGGCCCTAAGTTAAATTCCCATTGCTACTAAACAGCAATGAAACTAAACCAGACAGCTGTATGAGCCCGCAATGTTAGTTCTGAGTATCTAAAAGAACTGACAGCAAGCTCTGAAGGAGAAATAAGCACACTCAAGCTACTATTCAGCTGCAGGTGAGTCTATGATTTTGTTCACACTATAGAGGAACGGAGGAAGAGAGGGAGGGAGGAAGACAGGCACCATGGATGAGTCCGGAGACCCCTGCCCTGAGGAAATAAACCACTCACAGGGAAAGAAGTGCTATATGACTTTTATTTGTATAGGCACCGTGTAATTTTTAAAACGTGTATGCATATGTCTGTGTGTGTGTTCATGTGAGCACAGGGATCCTTGGAAGGTAGAGGCAGAAGATACAGATCCCTGAGCTACTACGTACAGGCCTTAAGTGGGTGTGTGCACCAAACTCAGGCCCTCTGCTGGAGCAGAAAGTGCTCTTAACCACTGAGCCATCTCTCCACACCAATGGCATCATTTTAGACCCTCAGAAGTCATTTGGTGGTTGTCAGGGGGTGGAAAGAGAGGGTTTGTGGAGTTGTTTCCTGGGACGGAACTTCAGTTTGGAAAAAAATGAGAAAGTTCTCTAGAACTAGAACAAGAGGCGCTTAGTTAACATTATTGTACTGTACTTAGAAATGGTGGTGAGGAAGATGAGGGCACATGCCTATCACCCCAGCACTGCAGAGGACAGCCAATATGTTGTATCAGAAGCCCGCAACCCCACAATTCTGGAGCCTCAGACAGGAAAATTGCCAGGGGCTCGTTTGGGTCTTCATAGCAAGACCCCATCTAAAAAAAGAGATGTTTTTTATGTTTTCACTCCTAGCCTATGCATTCTACACGCTACCCCCACCCCGCCCCCGCCCTGCCCCGCCCCGCGCCCCTTTCTCCTCTCTCTTACAAATTAAGTGCCAAGCAGGCCGCTCTGTTCATTAGTCTCGCAGAATTGAGTTTGTCTCTGAGTGTAGCTCGGTGCCTGATCCTGTGCTTCAGGGAGGTTCCGCCCGTACACCTCTCGGGATTACAGTTAAAGGAGTCCCAGAGTCTTCCCCTATTTTCAGGGTGCAAGGACAGTCTGAGTAGTCTGACCCCGTAGAGCCCTAGGGCTATCTAGGTGGGGACACCTGGGAGGAGAGCGGCCGGGAAAGCGGCCTGGAGATGTTGG